TCTGTGCAAAGTATGTAACATACAGAAGGAAGCATCTCCGACCCCATAAAGTATATATATTCTTGATCAGCATGACGAGAGAAATCGATCTAGACATGTCCGTCCGCCTGTCCGTCCGTCTGGATGAACGCGAGGATCTCAGAAACTATAAAAGCTAGAATAACCAAAGTTGGCATCCAGATTGTCCTAGGTCCAAGTAAGGACGAGTTTATTTTATTTTTTGGAATTTTCCCCCCCTTCCCCCGCTACAGAATTTCGTCAATTGCGCCCACATTTCAAATGCTACCTAAACCAAACTTTGCACACATAATTTATATATAATTGTCTACTGTTGTATACAATTTTATTCAATTCGGTCAATTCTAAGAAAACAAAACAAATTCTCGCCAGTACAACCCCCACAAACTGCAGCAACAAGTTCGCTCTTCTTCTTCCTCTTTTTGCTGCTGCTATGGGCGCATATAACTCAGTGACGCAAGTTTACCTGGGTACAGGGTATTACACTGTCGGGCTTGCTCGACTGTAGCGTTCTCTCTTGTTTTTTTTTGTTCATTTCATTTTCCTCATATTTTGTATTCAACTATACATTTTCTTTACAGTTGGATTTTGTTATTGCAAATTGTTGTTGTTATTGTTGTCGTTTTCAGCTGGTTTTATCTTCTTTGTGGGCAACATTGAACAGCCAGACTTTTATGCACTTTGTAGCGCACACGCAGCGCACGTGCTTCGCCTAAAGTCGCTTATTGGGGACCTATTAATTGGGCAGAGGGGCCGGAGGGGGATTTAGTATTCAGCTACCGCAGCTGCATCCGCTGCTGTCAGCAAAAGAAAGACATAATCACCCATCACACTCCTACACCAAAGCATTAGAGGTGCGCAATTTAGTTAATTCGCGGAACTAGTTCTTCTGAGCATTCAATAGAAGATCTTGAGAATTGCTGCTAAAATCAGTCCTTATCTTAAAGTAATTTAAAAAAATGGCTAAAACAGTTCTATTTGTCTATGAGGCTATTTAATTTAATATATTTAATTGTATATACTTATCTACAAGTATATATAATTCAATCAAACAGATCCTTTAAAATTATATTTGGTGCTGAACATCGTCATATGATGAAATGTTAACGTATTCTAATTTCCAAAACAAAAACGAAGTTGTTAAATGTTTAAGCAAGTCTTTTTAGCCACTTGAGTAGAATTTGAAATATTTTCTGAATTGACAATAAACGAAAGTGTATAAATATTTGTATATACAAAGCTTTGAGTCTGTAAATAAACCTCTTTATATACATGCCTAGATACTTAAGAAGAACAAAATAAAAAGAGCAGTATTTTAATTTTTTTATTTAACACGCCTCTGGTTTTAAAACAAAGTACTTAATCATTTTCTTGCAACTTTGTTGTCAAAATGTCTAAAAAGGCTGATGTCAGCAGAATTGCTTGCGGTTAAACGCTAATCTTAAATACTGCCAACTAAGTATAATGGAATCGTATAATTAAGTTAAAGTACTTCTAATTACTAAAACTGGCTCTTAGAGCCACACGTAGCTACAAATTTCTTGCCTCAATTGGTTAATTTGTCAACACATTGCATGGCATTGCAAAAGCTGGCATTGTTGTGGCTGTCGTCGTTGTTGTTGTTGTTGTGTCTAGCTCTCTGCCTGATCTGTCCAGCTACCTGTGGACTACCTGAACTGCATTTGTGTTGTTGACGCGTTTGCTTCCAATTTTTTCCCTTTTGTCATTGTTGACTTTTATACCCTTTTTCTCATGCCATTGAGCCATGACTTTGGCGTCTCTCCCTCACCCGTTTTCTCCACTACATTTATTTATAGCTCGAGCCCATTTCATTAGCCATTGTTTCCGGTAGTCAACCAGTTACACGCCAAACTTTATAATGCACATGAAGAAAGGGTTGGGCAACTTATCTGCCTATCTTGAACTGATAGGCAAGGGAATGAGTTCAATTTAATGAAGTTTTGATTATGCCTGACCACTGCGTATACCTATAAATATGTATATATGTATATAGCATGTGGCTATATACATAAATGCATTTGTGTGTAGGAGTAAGTGTGTTTGTAGCCGCAAGGTGTGGTTTCTGCCTGGAGCACAGGCGCTACTCAAAGTCAACATTAAACCTGTCAGTATCGTCGTCTACTTCGTCGTCGTCGTCATCGTCATCATCGTCATTGTCATCGTCGTTGGGAGCTGCGACATTGGCATGACTCATGTGCTGATTAGCCAGTTAGTTGGCGTTTTGCTAAGACTTTCGCTTAAGTGCGCAAAACATCGAATGGAATTTGCTATAAATAATGTAATGAATAAGTTTTCACTTATTTTCTTGCTGCTCCTGCACTTGCAGTTGCACGTGTGGAGTCGATTGTGCAATATACTACATATGTATATAGTATTTAGTATATAGGCATAGTAAATGGGCTTGAATATTTGAATGATTTCCTCATGCTAATTTTGTTCAACACGGCACCTTAAAAAATATGAATTGCGCGCAAGGGCTTACACTTACATTAGCCAAAGTATGTTGACATACCAGTATGTCTACTGAATGCAATTCAAATTAAATAGTAATTTAGTTCAAATGTTTTGTTCTTTGTTTAAAATGAATTACTTATTGAAATGTTTTTTTTTAAATAAAAGTGTAAATAAATGTGTAATCCGAATGTTCAAATCTGCTATGAAAAGCATATATGTATAATGATTAATATTTTAATTTTTTTGAGATTCATCACAGCATATATAGTTATTAATATTTTAAGTTTTTATAGATTCAGTAAAGCATAAATAAGTTCATTAATATTTTCAGTATTTCATTATTTTAAGATTCAGGAAAGCATTTTTTCACTTTAGAAAGTTGCATTTTGTTTCTTTTTCCTTTAAGCTATATTTTAAGAAAATATAATACATTATAACAAAATATTTTATTTATAATAAAGATAAGTAACCGTAGTCAGTATTTTCCTTTAGCATCATATTAGACGTTCTTCCCCCACTTTTATACAACTGTTGCATGAATCAAGCTTGATTTTGCTTCTGAATAACTTTTATCTCAAAAACGTTTCACAAATTCAAAACTACATAAGAGTCTGGCGAATATTCTATATAGCATACATTATCAGTCATAAAGAGTGTCAATCGAATGTCGTAATATCACGACGATACATATACATTATTAATGATTCTTAAATTTCGTTTTGTGTACGGCAGTTGAGTTGAACAATTTTCTTGCTTTGATTTCCCGTACTATTAAAATCGGTGCATAGATACTCGTAGCTTCACTCTTCAATAGGTTTCTTATCCTATACATTAGATTAAGCCCATTCGGCTTAATATCTCTTTCTTATCTTGAAAGTATGGTTTAATTTTTATCAATGCTGATTAAGTGAAGACTGATGCGACTGCTCTTTTTATTGGTAAGAAACTGGATCCGAAGTAATTGAATATCGTTTCGGGAAGTGCATCCATCAAATGGGAATGTTTTGAATGCAATTTCCTGGTATTTCTACTTTCTTAAGCTATTGGATTAGGCTGCCGTTCCCTTACACGGCTTAGGGACTTTCCGGAAACAGTGTTCAATAGTTGTTTTACGTACTAATTTGTAGGTTTGTTTAATTAATTATGGCATCTAGTGTAGGAGGTACATATGTATATACAAGTATATTATTTACAACTTTTGGACTGGCTGGTGATATGCTCGACTGATTTTTGCAATTGACCCACTGCTTCGTCGCGCTTAACTTTCCACACAATTGACCGCCGGACCAAATTTGTTCACAAGCTTGCAAGCAAACACATAGATACGCGTACATTGTATGTACAAAGAGTGTATGTTTGTTTGTGTGTGTGTGTACATACCTCTTTGCAAATTGTTGTGATGTTTAAGTGAGTGTGTTTATTGTTATTGTTGCCGCCGTCGTCATTTATGCGCTGTGGAGGTCGTTCTCGCTTGTTATGCTTTTCATCAGCCCCATCCACATCGGTCATTGGACCGTAGCTGTTGCGCAGACGCTGCTGCGGCTGCTGACGCAGAAACTGCCACCGACGCCGCCACCGACGCGGACACTGACGCCGCAGCAACGCTAGCACCACCCGGGGCGTGCCACGCGGCTCTTGGTTTGCTTTGTTTTTGTTACTTTTGGATGTATGTACATATGTATGTATGTATGTGCATACGAGTGTGTACATATGTACGAGTATGTGTCTCAAGCGCTTACAAATCGCGCAACGCTGCCTACAGCTGTTGCATGCTTGCACTGGCGTTTGGGCTTCACAAATACATGCATTCGTACTATGTACTACTTGTATATAGTATGTTTCTTTATATCATAACTGTATTATCGGTCTGAGGAAGTGTTTGGCGGCGACGACGACGACAACGCATCTGTGGCAAGCTGTTGATAAATTATATTGTGCATTTAATTTATTCATGGCACTGCCTTGCGCTGCATCTTCGTTATCTGGCTCCTCTGTTCTTCGTCTTGGAGTTATTTTGAGTTATGTAAATGCGTCATTGCGTTGTAGTTCCTTTGACTTGAGTGCTGATAACAGAACATAGTAAAGCGTTTAGTGATGTGGAAGTCGTACACCCGCCCTAGCATCCGGGCCCATTTCCCACCTATATGTACAAATCAGTTCTCATCACCCATTAAGCCACACTCACGTTTTATGGAGCGGAACAAAATATCAGTGCCAAACATCTCATCCGCTTGTCCGACTCCGACCATATCAAATACGTGTTGCTTGCGACGGCACCCCATTTTTTATTTTAGATGTTCCCCCATGGCAGCATTTCGCTAATTGATAACCCCTAGTGGCCTTATGCCACACGAACTTAGCCGGGCTGCACATGATTAGCATTGATTGCTAAATTTGCAGCTCAGCTCAGTTGTAGTTAGTTTGTGTTTGCGGTCGGACAGGTAGCCCAGCCCAACAAATAATGTGTCATGGTTTTTAAAGAGTTCCATTTGTTTTCTATTTTGCAGCCAAAAGCCACTTTGATCAGGAGACGAAACCACATCGCCTCAGTTTGGATGTGGGCGATGCAGTCATAATACTCAAGGAGACCACGCACTGGTACTACGGCTATAAACAAAAGTGAGTAAACCTATTACATTTATATTTATATGCTTTTAAACGATGAAGTGTTTCAGTTCATTTTCTTTCATAATACAAATACAAAATATAATAGTATGTGTTTAATAATTTTAAGAAATATCATGATCTATGCACCTTGCTATGTATAGAGCGGATTCGTATCACTTTAAAAGTTTTCTAAAGAACTGTGATTTATTCTAACTAACTACAAATTTAGTTGATGTGAAACTGTTTAAAAATATAAATAGTTTTCTTTGTATTCATATTCGAGTAAATTCTGATGAAAAAATCAGATTCCTTATGGAGCCCGTTTCCCCATTTGGAGTTAGAAATTTTCAGTTTTCTTATTATTATTAATCCATAAGTGCATTATTTTGTGAGTTACTTCTATATTTTTTTGACAAAATTATTTTTATATAAATGTTGAATGAAATGGCGTTTTAAAGGTGAACAGATGACATTTCTAACTTCATATAATACGATAATGTTATTTGTTTATTACTACTAATTCTAAGTTTTCTAAAGTGAATTTGGGATAAGGGAGCTAGAAATTTAGTTGGCTGAAACATTTAAACATTTTTAATAGGACTACTGAAAATATTACAAGTTCCTTGTACAATCGGATCGATATAGTGTTTGTTTGTTGGTCTGAGTATCTTATTTTGAGTCTTGTAAATTGCATTGTATTGGCTGCACATTAAGTCCTGTTGAACACCGTCCTCATAGTATTTACTGCTTTGTAGGAATTTAGACCGCCAAAATCGTCTTTCCTATCGCTGGCTATTCCGCGCCCTACATTCAGACTACGTTCCGATGGTACAATTATAGAATTGTCGTTCTTTTAACTTGCATCCGATTGTAAAAGAGATTGATGTTGCCTGCATGCTAGTTTTTAATTAGGAGGCAACAACAAAAAGTTACCTAAAACTAAGTCATCTTAATCATAAGTGGTTTTAATTTGGAATTGCGCAGAAATACACACTTTTTTAAAAAGAGACAAGTGGCACTCGTTGTGAAAAATGACCACTATTGTATGCAGCAGGAGGAAAAATATATAAAAGCTAAGCTTCAGATTGATAAATGTTACGGATCATCATTTATTTCTCTGTAAAGCATTAGCGCAGTAAGGGCTTACATACCTTCCGATGGGAGAGCGATGATACGTTTTCTTTTTGGTCGTGTAGTTTTTGCATAACTTGTTAGGTCTTGGGAAAAAGTGGCTTGTGGAAGCTACTGCTACTTTCAACACATTTGTAAAATGCTGCTGCTTTCACTGTAATGAAATTTTCCTATGAATATTCAAATGCTATTCTTTTTCCCCCCTTTTTTGGCCATGTTTATCAATCTTTCGACTGTCTGGCGACTGGCTCCATTTGCTTAAGCAAACAACTTTTCTCGACGGAAATGCGGAAATGCTGTAGAAAGAGCACAAATAGACATAAATCAGGTGGCTCTGCACCCAACTATGCTGCATTTTGGCGCCTGTTGTTTACTTAATATCTTCATTGAAACTGTGCCAAGTTGTTGCCCAAGAAAGAAATGCACAACCCTTTCATCCTCTGGAATAACAACATGTGTGCGGACATTCCAATGGGAAACTCAAAACAAACGAATTACTTTTCATATGCCATTTAAAATATTTATGACATGACCCTTTTCACTTCTGGGTTCTTCTGCGGGTTTTTATCTTGCGCTCGTCTTCTTGTCTTGTCCGCACTTGGACACGCACTCGAGTCGCTGCTTATCGTAATTGGACGAAACCCAAAGATGGTAGCCATAGAACACACAAAAACAAGATTAAATGCCGGACTGTTGGACTGATTTGCTGGCTGGCTCGCTGGTTGGTTTTCTTGCTTTCCGTCACGCTGACCTCTTCCATATTTTTGCTGACCCATAACCCAGACCCAGACAAGAGCAATGCATGCTCATGCCATGCCGCCTCTCAAGAAGCAACCGCAGTGGCAGAAGCCGCAGTAAAGTGCACATGAAGCACAAATACGGGTACATAGACCACTAAAAACAACAAAGCGCCACAAAGCAAAATCTATACGATACAGTATAGTACAAGGTACAGTGACAATTCAATAAAACAAATGTGTTTTTATGTATTGATCGGAAGAAGGTTATGTGACATTGTAAAAGTTCGAAAAATATGGAGCAGAAACTAATCCCAAACAATTAACGGGAAAAGGTGTAATAGCAGGGGAACCTATACATCAGCTTTGGTAACCCTGTCGAATGCATCCCTGATCTCGCATTAATTCGTTAATTAAGCAATTCCCTAGCTAGTTTAATCTTAGTCGAGGGATTGAATAAAGGAGACTTTATTTTATAATGGAACTCTGTATTTCATTATTGACATCATTTGTCCTTCACGGACCTTTACCTTACATAACCGTACTTTTACAAAATTCTTTTCAAAACCCAACAAATCTGACGAATAAATATAATTGCAAAATTTGAAGAAGAATACCAGGCTTACGGAAACGATAGGTCGTTGTGGAATCTTATGGATTTGCCACATTTTTAAGTTATATTAATACATTCTTCATATCCATAAATTAAGGAGACGATATAACCAATTTCCTGTCTCTAGCTCCTATACCTTTGAAATTCAGAGTCGTATGAACAGATCTAGCGGTCATGACCTTTTCAAACTATTATAGGTATATTTGTTTTGAATTTATTAATTTTAAACTTATAATAGCTAATTCCACGAATGGAATTTAGAGACAGAGATAATATAAGCTGTATTAAACACTACTTCTGCATACACTTTTTTATCTATGCTTGGCAGTAGGGTTCACTTAGTGACGCCATTAAAAATGCAATTACTTTTTTATTGGAATATTTATCAAATAAGTATATCTATTTTTATAACTTCCAAGTAAATGAGAATTCGAGAAATAATCCAATAAATAGCCGATTGCGTCGTTCATTCCGTTGGCGTCATTATAAAATCCTATTAGCATCTAATTATCGCACTTCCATTTCCCATTTGTCATAAAGAGTTCTTACTTTAAGCGATAAAAATGGTTGGGGAGGGGAGCGGGGTAGGCCATTTCAAAAGCAATTTTACGCTGATAACCTCTTCGGCCCACAAAAACAATAAAGAAAGAAAGAAAAAATTGTCGGGCTGTTTATTTTGTTTGGTGTGTGTTGTGTTTATAAAGAAATATCAATTTTAATTGTGCATTTTCTCACGATTTCCCAATCGAAACCGAATTCTGTGGATTGTTTATCAAAATCAATTGATGCGGTCAGTTCAGTCAGCTACTATTATTAAATTGAAGGCCATTAATTGGCGCGTACCTGAAGTTCAATGGAACGATTTGTCATTCCCTCTGAAGAAGAGTCAATAGTTAAAGTCAATGCTAAAGACTTTTATCAATGTTGCTGCCGCTTCTCTTAGCAATTGGCAGGAGTCGGCATGGGGGGAGTTAGGAATAGGCTCTTCATTCAATGAATGCTTAGGCAATTAAAAGGGGCCACCCCGCATGTCAAGCCCTGAATTGAACCAAATTAAAGCATTCCATTTCATTTGCGAGTGTCACACTTGGCGCTCACTTCCTCTGCCAACAAGAGCTCCGAGTAACAATGGAAACGGCACCAACAACAGCATTGAGTAATTCATCAGAAATGCCAACGACGATGAATTGTGTCATATATATTGTACATATTATTATGGGTATATACACACATATGTATGTATGTATGTACGTCTATATATGCCTACATATGTATAGCACGCACTGGCAATTTGTTTTGTTGCTTCTTTGGTTGCTGTTGTAGTTGGTACTTGTATTGCCATATGCAGCGCACATTTTGAACAGAAAATTTAATGAACTATACCATTCCCCCACTTTTTTATCTCATTTCGGTTTGCAGAGCAAAGGAAACACGCGGCATTTTTCCCAAAACCTACATACACTTGTGCGAGTATAACATCGTGAATGGCGAATATTACATTAAGCGGACGGATATTGTAGAAGAGATCACAAAAGTACTGCTGGAATGGGGCACTATAGCGAAGCGTTTGTTTCTGGTAAGTAGACCGACCTTGACCGGCACTTTGGGTGTCAGTTTTATTAAAACATCCTTTAAATTTGCAATTCTAATTGTAATTGGAAGCGTTAAGCCGTTGATTGCACTCTTTAGTTTATAGTATAAATAAAAAGTTTAATTTTTCTTGTTTCATTATTATTATTTTTTTTTTCAAAAACATATAACACTCACAACTGTTTTTCAACAAATTTGATGAATCTACGAGTATATGATTAAAATCCAAAACTAAATTTTAGGACTTATAGTATAAGCGAGAAACGTTCCTTCATATATTGGATACGAAATTAATTGAACAAATTTTCATTCTTTTTTTCTCTCGTCATTAAATATTATATATACCGTTCCGTCCGTCCGAATGTATAAAATACCATAACGATCAATATGTATTCAAAAAGATTACAGCCATACGGGATCTCCAAAATTTAAAATAACTGTGCTATTGATATTCAGATTTCAACAGAGAAGAAGAGAAGACATAAGTCTCGTTACAGTCCAATATATTATATGAAACCAATCGTATAGCTACTCAAATTCGCTCAGTTTCCCCCTTGGATTCATATTCCAAATCTAAGACAAGTGTTACACTTTTAAACATAATTTCTTCATCTGTTTCTTACATTTACTTTTTCCCCTGCAGAGAACAGATGAGAACTTTCAAAAGATACGGAGAAAAATGAATGAGCTGCACAATAATCGTGCGCTACTCATTTCTGGCAATTTTCCCGTGGATGAGATGCGTAGATTGAAGTTACAGGCCACAGAACAAATAGATACGGGCAACAAGTTGCTCGGCCTAGACATGGTCGTGCGTGACGAGAGCGGTGATATATTAGACACAAATGCCATTGCCACCACAGAGCTCTACGAACAGCACGTTCAGGCTGTTGGACGGATAGATAAAGCCAATGTAAGTAGAAATGATAAAGGTTGCACTGCGAATTATTATTTTTATTCCTTCCTATTTTCCCTATCTATATAGCGCGTGAGTCACTCACGCGGCACAACGCGTGCCCACAACAAATTCTCGCACAACATTCTGCTGCATGTGAATGCGTTTGTGTGCAAGTTTCAAGATGACTCCGATCTGCTGTTTACACTCTTCGATGGTGAGAAACACAAGCCCATTACGGAGAACTATGTGGTCAAGTGGTCGCACACCGGCATTGCACGAGATATCGATCAGTTTGACAACAACCGCGTGCTATTCACCGATCTCAGTCGTAATGATCTGAGCATCTCCAAAATCTATCTAGTCTGTTATGCTATACGCATTGGCTCGATGGAGATGAAGGATACTAGCGAATCCCGGCGAACAAGCAGAAGCATTGCGAACAATGTCCTCACGGCGGCCAGTCGGAAGCCCTCGCAGCTGTCGGTCAGCTCGAGCAGTTCATCTGGCACCACCGGGGAGTACATTATGCGGCGACCTTTTGGTGTGGCCTTTAAGGATCTAACACCGATACTAAACAAACCGGAGGACTTTCGTGGCAACTTGGATTTACCCTTCATTATGTGCGAAAAGGACACCTTGGATGGCACCCTCCGCAAGCTAATTGCCAACAAGGACATTGGCAAGATCGACTCCAAAATGGCCGTAACCATTGAGGTGCTGCGTGGTGACATCAAACAGATTAAAGAGGACTTCCCACGTCTGGTGCATCCCAATGTGCCAGTGGCGCGTAAAATGGGTTTTCCCGAAGTCATACTGCCGGGCGATGTACGAAACGACTTATATTTGACCATATGTTGTGGCGAATTCGCACGCATTGCGAAGAAGTCGGAGAAGAATGTGGAGGTGACGGTGTGCGTGGCGAATGAACAGGGTCAGCTGGTCTCAGGCGTTATGAGTATAGGAGCTGGACATGCGCCTATCGACGAGTACAAGTCCGTGGTGTACTACCACGACGACAAGCCCAAGTGGCAGGAGATCTTTAAAATTCATGTTTCCATTTGGGACTTCAAGCAATGCCACTTGCGCTTCATGCTCAAACATCGCAGCTCGAATGAACAGAAAGATCGAGCGGAAAAACCCTTCGGTCTGGCTTATGTGCGTCTCATGCAGGCCAATGGCACAACTATACCACAGGGTCAGCATGTCCTGGCCGTGTACAAAGTCGATCACAAGAAGTACGATAAGACGGCGGCCAGCTACATGGACCTGCCAGCTACGACAGCCGAATTGCAGGGCACGAAACCCTCTACTACTGGTCTGTCTCTGCTGCCCAAAGATCAGCTGACCATCGATGTGAACCTCTGCAGCACCAAGCTAACCCAAAGCGGTATGTACAAAAATTATATTTACTCTTTTAACGGCTGTGGAACAAAACAAAACTAACTGATTTTCTTTTTGTATTTTAGAGAGTTTGTTGGGTCTACTTAACTGGTCTGGCCACAAGGATAAACTTGAGCAATCGCTGCAAGCTTTATCCTCTGTGCCTGGCGAGGAGGTCGTGAAATTTCTGCAAGATATACTGGACGCGTTGTTCAACATACTGGTGGAGAACGATGATCCCGAAAAGTATGACCAGTTGGTTTTCATGAGCATTATATACCTGATAGAGACTGTCACCTCCAATTATCAACACTTCCTTACCGTGCTGGATGTGTATATAAATGAGAACTTTTCGGCAACTTTAGCCTATGCGTAAGTCCTTCTAATTAATCTGCTAATACATAGAGATCACATGTTATAATGGTATTTGCAGGAAGCTTATCGACGTTCTGCAGCAAAACATTCGAGATGCTATTAAGCCGCGCGAAAAGTCCGTGGATGGCGGCGATTACGAGGAGAGCGGTGAAGTGGATCGGTTGTTTAAGATCACACGCTGCTTACACTATATAATGAAGTTTATCATCCGCTCGCGTCAGCTCTACGAGATGAATTGTAATCTCGAACCCGACGACTTTGCCACGCGTCTCCACGCGTTGCTAAAATTGTTCATCGATATGATTGGCTGTCCGACAGATCTCTTAAAATCCGAGGGCATGCTGCTGAAAAATTTGCACATAATTGCGACAGATTTGATGCAGGTGTTCGATCCAGTACGTTTGAGGTACGTATCTCCAGAGATCAACTCAATATATAATAAACATTTTAACATATTCTTTGCATTCTTCCACAGCGTTGCCATTATAGAAATATTGGAAAAGTTTCCGCCACGTCGTCTGCTTCAGTCCAAGATGGGATGCATCAGAGACTTTGTGGAAACTAAATTGTTCAGCCTGCCCAAATGTCGCGCCATACTATTGCCTGTATTTTGCAAGCACATTAAAGATCATCTCGAGAGCAAAGAGGAGGTAAGTGCTGGATGCTGCAAACCAATCGCGTGTCTCCAACTAATTTTTCATTTTATTTTAAAATTGCATTTTGTTTATAATATGATGCATTGTTCAATTTGTGCTTGATGCGATCTTCTTATGCATTGACAAGACGCAAAATTAAAACATTCAAACCCACACATACAAGTATATACACATGTTCAAGTCAAGTCAGTCAGTAACAGTAACTAATTGAAATCAATCAGCTTTATGTTAAAACGAATAACAGTACATTTAACAATCAATGTGTACATTCTACTATGTACCTCTATCATTTTTTAACAAACCACAGCGTTCAAACAGATAGCAATTATGAGGGTTTTATACATATATAAACTTTTTTAAAGCATACTTCAAGGTTCATAAATGTGAAAATTTTGAATATTTTAATAATTATTAATATAAAACAGAAGTAATATATTGAATTCGCAACAGTACTGTGTGTTTTTAAAAAAAAAAAAGTTTAAAAGTTAAAGCTGTTTCATGAGGATTCGACGCTAATTTGGGGAGTATCAAGAGCTTTGCTCTGAATCGGTGTTTTTTTTTAATGCAGATAATTAGGCTTTATTTCAAAAATAATTGAAGTAGTTTCAAATTCTATTTGAACAATATTTCTCGAATAAAGAGAGTTGGATCAGCCGAGCTTTAAACTTAGGGAACGGCTTTGGGTGTTCTTCGAACTCCTTGTCAGCTACAAAGTTTGAAACAAAGTTTCTAAAGTTCGCGAATTCGAATAAAACTTGACATGTGACATGTTATTAATTTTGCATCGTTTGCATCTGATATGACTTAAGTTAATATTTTGTAGCTTTTGCAAGCAATTCTTAGTTAGTTTTAAGCATGTTTTCACATTACTTGTGAATGTGATTTGCATTTGTGTTTGAACATTTTTTCTTTGGCATGTGCACAACAAAATTGTATTTTATGTCTTTGTCTTGTGTCCGTGTCTTAATTTAAATTCGATATTTTTCTATATGTTGATTAAGACATTGTCTTAGCCTGTAAGCACTATTTAAAGTAGTCGTAGCAACACATCCCCACAAATGTTTAGCTAAATATTCTGATTTATATGTTAAGTCAGGCATTTCTTAGCAGCAGACTCTCATGTAAATTTGTGTAAGTGTTTATCCATAAACCACCAAAGAATATATTTAGAGATTTGTTTAGCTGCGTGGCACGTATAATTCACCCATCGTCATTAAGCGAAATGTTTATAAAATCCATCTGGCAATCCATTAAAAGCACCAATCATTCACCCATCCACACACACACGTACACCACATAGCATACACCCAACACAACTCACGTACAAATAATAAAAGGGTATAATTAATTAATAATGACCATGCCTCTCTCTACATACAATATACGATCAAACATTTCTTTGTCTTGCCAGTCGCGCAACACTCTATAATATCACGTGAATGTACACCCAATGTTACACTTTCTATTGTTTCGTACTACTTTTGGGCTGTTGATTAGCACTCATACACACTACGATACTTATGTAAATTCGTTTACAATTCTTTAATACTCGTATATCATTGCAACTAAATGTGTTTACTCCATGTTATCTTTATAAATACATATGTACCTCTAAAATAAAGCAGCAATTAAATACCCACATATGCCCACTGTGTCCGGTGTGCGTTATTGTTGTTTTTTTTGTTTTTGTTTTTGTTACAATCACAATTGTGTTATATACAAATAGGGCGACTCGAAAACCGATATCTGGCAGCAAGAAAAGAATCTTTCCAAAGCCGCCAAAGTGCTCGGACAATTAAAATCCCAACTGCATACACGTGAGACCTCTGCCAATAAAAAGGTAACAAAATATCATATCAACCAAGACCAACAAAATCAAACACAAAGATCAGGCTTGTAGTTTATAGCACCATATAGTAAATGCCTATTGCAATATGTCCATATGTTATACAATTTTAAGCTACTTACTCGCCATTCTGCAATTGCCGGTGTTTGTGCACACTTTCTAAGCTCAATGGTTTTCCATATATATATATATATATCTTAGCTTTAACGTCCATCACGTTTCAGTGTTGAAGCAGAACGCAAATGCTTGACACTTTCTATGCTAAGTTAGCGATAAGTTCAGTTGTTGCAGCTTTTTTATTGCAATGTTTGTTTGATAAATTATTTATGTGACCCATAACTACAGCTACATATGTGATTTAAACTAATTTACACTTAATTAGGTAAATATTGAATATTGAAGACCCCCAATCGCGTTCGAAGACGCCTAAAATTAAAGTTCTTCCGCAATAACTTATGTTTGATTTCCACGATTATTTCCCCCAACTAATAATGTTTCATCTATTAATGCCAGATTGCCGAGTGCATCAACATTATGAACAACATACTGAAGCTGCTCTATCGCTCGGATGTGGGGCCAACGCACAATGACATCCGAGATATTATGATAATTCTGTTGCGCACTGTTATGAAGGCTGCGCATGCGCTCGACCGCGATACAGGTCTGGTGGGCAGCTTTTTTGCCATTATGCTCGGCATTTTGCAGCGCATGGATGAGGCGCACTACGAGTATTTTGTGAAGGATCTGCGGAATCGTTCCCAGCTGCAGGACTTCGTCGTCGAAATATTGCTGGTCTTCAAGGATCTAGTGACGCCGGACCAGAAGGCCGTTTTTCCGCGCGACTGGATGGACATGATTATGCATCAGAACACGGTCATTTTGGGCGCTCTTCAACAACTGAGCATCGTCATCACAGATCACTTTCTGGACTCGTTTGAGGAGCAAATCTGGTCGAACTTCTTCCAGTGTTCCATTGCGTTTCTGGTGCAGTCGCCTCTGCAGCTGAACGACTTCAATGACAACAAGCGGCAGATTGTGTTCGCACGCTACCGTGATATCCGGAAGGACACGGCCAAAGAGATACGCAATATGTGGTTCCAGTTGGGCGAGCACAAGCCCAAGTTTGTGCCGCATTTGGTCGAACCTATTCTGGAAATGAGCATGATACCTGAACGTGAGCTTCGCTGCGAAACCATACCGATATTCTTCGACATGATGCAATGCGAGTATTACAGCTCACGACTTGAGGTTGAGAGTTATGGCGATACCAAGCGCAACAATGCTCACTACAAGGGCAACTTTGCTGAATTCAAAACGGCAATGATTGAGAAACTAGACATGCTAATCGGAATGGGTAAGCCTAAGCCTATTTCTAAGGTTCTTCGTTAAAGTATTTAAAATTAAAACGAAAACAAAAGTTCATCTTGGAATTAAATCTTGTCTCTTTGCAAAGCATTTAAAGAGGTTTCGGGTCCAAAATTCATTCATTTGGAACTTAATTGTCCACTTTTTAACTAAGAAATATAATACTCCAAGGAGTGTCTGTAGTTAGTTCGATCGGATTCGTTGTTTCTTTCTTCTATTTCAATAGTTCAACTAGCGTTCAACTCCATCAGCGTCTTGATGGTCATGCCTGTAATAGAATATCGAATAGGACTGATATTGAAATGCGTGAACTGACCTGGTTTTGGAGGGAAAAAATAAGACATGGTGTCTATTTATTTATTGACTGACAGAGAGTTTTTAGTAGACATCGTTTAAGTCAATAGGTAATCGACAACAGAGACAAGTTAAATACCTCTAGCACTAGTTTATTAACAGCATTAGACACTAACCTTCTTGGTCGATAATCCCAGGCATGAAAATAAACTTTATAAATATGCTCTTTACAATTTCAATATACAAGTACTATACTAATTATGATGAATCAACCTTCTTCCTTATTCTTCCAGGCAAAGGCGATACGGATTACAAGCAGCTGTTTGAGAAAATCATGCTGGAGCGTTGCGAAGCTCATGCCTCGCTCAACATTGAGGGCACCAAGTTCGTGCATATGGTGACGAAGCAGATGGACAAGCTTTTGGAGTACCGCTACCTTATACAGGACGAGAGCAAGGAGAATCGCATGGCCTGCACTTTCTCGCTGCTGCAGTTCTACTCGGAGGTAAACCTCAAGGAGATGTACATACGTTATGTATACAAACTGTGTGCCCTGCACATGGAATTTGAAAACTATACCGAGGCGGCCTTCACCCTCAAGCTGCACACCGAACTGTTGCTCTGGAACGATACAGAACTGACGCCGCAGCTGCAAACTGATCGCCACCGCCATTGCCGCACGCATCGCGAACTGAAGGAGGCACTGTACTTTGATGTCATTGATTACTTTGATAAAGGCAAGCAATGGGAGTGCGCCATAGACATGTGCAAGGTGCTGACGGAACAGTATGAGAACGAGATCTACGACTATATTAAACTGGCAAAGCTGCTGAAGACCATGGCAGAATTTTACGAGAAGATACTCAAGGAGCTGCGCCACACATCGGAGTATTTCCGTGTGTGCTTCTACGGTCGTGGATTTCCGCGTCTGCTTCAAAACAAAGTGTACATCTTTCGCGGCAAGGAGTACGAGCGTCATCCTGATTTCTGCACACGCATTCTCGCGCAACATCCGCAGGCCGAGCTAATGCAGACGCTCGAGGCGCCTGGCGAAGATATCACCAATAGCGATTCTCAGTACATTCAGGTGAACAAAGTGGACCCCATCATGGACGATGCGTTCGCCAAGTTCAACGAGAAAATCATCTCCAATGAGATTGTCAAGTACTTCACTTCGAACAATGTGCAAAAGTTCCGTTTCTCGAGACCGTATCGAGACAGCAGTAGTGGTCGCGGCATGGATGATGTGCGTTCTCTGTGGCTTGAGCGTACAGTACTGGTGACACGGTTTCCGTTGCCGGGCATTTTGCGCTGGTTTCCAGTCGTCCACACGGAAACTTTCAAGATCTCGCCCTTGGAGTTAGCTGTCGAGACAATGAAGACCGCTAACAAGGACTTACGCGACTTAATCATACAGTACAAGAGCGATGAGAAGTTGGGCATTAATCCATTGACAATGAAAATCAATGGCATTGTCGATCCGGCTGTGATGGGCGGCTTCACGAAGTACGAGGAGGCCTTCCTAACGCCCGAGTATCTGGAGGAGCGTGCTGAGGACAGGGACCTCATCGAAGAGTTGAAAGATTTGATTGCCTCGCAAGTACCGCTGCTGGAAATTGGTGCGTGAATTGTGTCCCTTAAATAAAAAATACTAATTGGTGTTATTTTTGCAGCAATTTTGCTGCACAGACAACGTGTGCCCGAAAGCCTTAAGGATCTGCAGGAGCACATGGAGTCGCGTTTTTCGGAAATGCAGCAAAAGGTTGAATCCAAATACGGTCGCAAGTCTTGCGATTTAAAGCTCGATCGCGATTCCGTGGTAATGCGACGAAATAACTCCTTCCACCCGGCCCTGTTTGATGGCAGCAGTAATCGCCTGTCGGAAACCAGCATGGGATCTTCAGAGTAAGTAAAGAGATTACTTTCTGGTATCCAGTTGTAATTTGATCGATTCCTTTTTAAATTTGCAGTAGCGGCCTCTCGAAGTCAACATTTTTGCCACGCCCCCAAACCAGCTCTATCAAATCTACATTTGCCAATTTGAGCTTCAATCCAAGGTGAGTTTTCAATTAACATTGCTTTAGCGTGAATTTTGACTAATAATTGAATCTTCACTCAATATTTTGTGCGGGTTTTAGTTTGTTATTCTAATTAAACGTTTCGTTTTAAATTTAACTTTATTTTGATTTGCCTTTCATTTTATTTGCTTTTTCGCATTTATGTTGCTTGCCTTGTAAATACCTGCAACTGTCGTCCACAGACCCAGTTTGGGGCACACGCCGAGCACGAAGGGCAACAAGAACAAGGACAAAACACCGACCAAACGGCGGTCAATGAAAAAGGTAACAACTCCACTTGCTTGCAAATTCTCAAGCTATTGCTAATAACTTGTCGCACCCCACACCACACAGTTGGATCGGGACACGCTGAGCTTGCCAGTGGCCAATAGTCAGTGGTATACTCCACCGTTGACAACCATAACATCGACGCCCGAAAAGGAAATAAGCTCATCTATCAACTCCATAGTGAGCGCCTCGAATACCTCGCTAAGTGGACCAAAAACACCAGACCCGCGTGTCCTAACCGAGGAGGTAAATGCTATTACCGATAGATATTTGTTGATATTTGTGAATAAACTTGATTTCTTGTTATATAGCTCACACCAAAAAGGCCTCTACGTTCCGAAAAAGAAAAGGAACGTCGTTTATCTCGACCCGCCAGCATAGCCACGCCCACAGCGAGCATGAAAAACTTCACCGACTCACGATCTCTGTCCGAGAGCAGTAATCGTAATTCAGTTGGTAAGTCACCAGCTTAATATTTGGGTATTATATTGTTGCTTATGAAATGTTCTATCAAGTTTTGAGAGGTTATGGGTCTAGTAATGGAAGGAGAGACCCTCTCTAACAGTCTATATTTGAGTATTTTATTGCAGTGCATTTTCCAAAGGTACAGTTAGGAAACTGATTGAAAACGTATTTAGAATAAATATTTTCGAACCCATTTTTCAATGTTTTTACATTCCGTCAACTACAGATGATTCTTATAAAAAGGTTATTACGCGAAATCGCAGCAATGTGATGAATTTGTAAAATTGATTATACATATTTATATTAGACTTCAAGTGTCGTCCCTAAATGGAATGGATATAATGAAGAACAGAAGGAGATAAAGCAGTTTTGGAAAATTATGGAAATATTTAAAAATTCCGCCAACAATCCTGATTGATCCAACGATATTACCAAAGTTTCCAAAACGAATTGGTTTAATGAGCTGATAAAATTTAAAAAACTGTGCTGAAACTTGTCCACAGAGTATTATATGATTTTTGTTTAAGGTAGATAAAGGAGTTTTGGAAAATGATAGAAATATTTAAAAATTCTGCCAACAATCCTGATTTGATCCAATGATATTACCAAAGTTTCCAATAAGAATTTGTTTTAAAACTGTGCTGCAACTTCTTCTTAACTTGTCCACCGAATATAACAGGATTTTATTGAGGTAAATGAAGGATTTTGGAAAAGGAGGATTGGAAAATTATGGAAATATTTCAAAATTCTGCCAACAATCCCGCTAATGATATTACCAAAGTTTCCAATAAAAGTTTGTTTGATGAAATGCTAGTATTTAAAAAAAAACTGTGCTGCAACTTCTTCTTAACTTGTCCACCGAATATAACAGGATGTTTTTGAGTTACAAACATGATATTTGTTTGAGGTAGATGAAGGAGTTTTGTAAATTGATGGAAATATATAAAAATTCTGGCAACAATCCTGATTTGATCTAACGATATTATAAAAGTTTCCCATAAGAGTTTGTTTTTAAAACTGTGCTGCAACTTCTTCTTAACTGGTCCACAGAAACCACAGATTCGACATCAGAAGAGGACATACGACCGCCGCCACTGCCTGCCAAGACACGTGACTCCACGGATTTTTCAAGTTTCTCGCACAGTCTGGACTGGAACCCGGCCGGATATGCAATGCTCAGTCAATTGAGCAACATGAGCAACAGCAGCAACATAAGCAACATTAGCTCGGCATCGACCATGACAAAAACCACCAGTATTATAAATAAAAGTTATGAGTACACAGAAGTGACGAACTTAACTTTGATTAGTGGACTGGATAGCAACAAGCCGCGTCCTCCAACGCCGCCCCCGAAGCCATCGCGTAATAGCAAACACATTCCATAGACAGCGATTTGCGATTCGTCTGGTTCCAGTGCTGCGCGCCATATGCATGCATACTCGTATGTATGCTGAAAGTTGTCAACGAGCAAGAATCGAGTGCCAAATATATTTGTTACTACATTAATAATACTACTTACACCGAAAGAGCAAAATCGAACACAATAAGAATAATAACAATAACAAATCAGCACCTCAAATGACCGCTACCAAATAGCAATGAATAAGAAATTAACAAACAAAAAGTGTCTTAAGAATCACAGTGGCCTAAAACTGAAACCGTTTATTTATGTTAAATGTTTAGTTACGTTAAAATGATATTATGTTGAACATGTCATCATTTTCGTTTAGTTGCAAGTTTTATGTTTAAGATGTGTAATTTGTTTACGAACAAAGCTTAATCCTAGAGCACTAGAAACATAAACTATATAGTATGAACACGATCTGCTTGTCTTCCACAAGTATTACACATATGTATATTCTTATTTAATTTTATACTATTACTAGTAGACATATAGCATTAAAGTGTACGCACAATTACTGCAAAACTGCAATACGCATAAAAATGATCGCAAACAAGCCCAACAATTTAAAAAACTCACGTCTCTTATGCAAACAAGTGCCACAACTTTTTTATAGCAATAACAATAAATGAGCAATAAAAAGTCAACGATTTCTGCAACCATCCGTTTACAGCAAGCACAGAACTATGTATTGCAAGTCAATTAAAAATGAATGCATTAAAAACCATAACTTTTAATATTTACAACAAGGTAGTCAATTTTTTATATACATCTAAAATTATTTACATATTTTATAAAATAACACATGTGTATAGCCATGGATTACGAATTGTTCTTAAACGATTTGTTGTTGAACTTATCATTAGTTTAAAAATCAATTCAAAAACGCAATACGTATATTTTTAAACAATTTGTATACTTTAATGTGAATCTATTGGTGTAGTCTAAAGTAAGTTATAAAGTTTACAATAAATGTTTTTAATTTTCATACTGTATTACTGTATTTTACAACTATGTGTATTTTGCGATCTATGCATCGGCCAAAGATTAAGCAATAATAAAGTACAATTTAAGCACAAACTTAACTTTCACTCTTTATATTTAAAAGGGCCTTTATTATTTCTCTATTTACTTCTCGGTTAGGTTTTTGAAAAGTATGTAAAAGGGAGAAGGAAGAATTTCTGACCCCATAGCATATAAGAATATTCTTATTTCGACAATACTGTTGATAATTCCACAGCTATATAAACCGTTGTTGCAATATTCACCCCAATCGGTAAATTTTAAGAAAACTTATAAGAGAATCAATTTTAAATTTTTTCTGGGTACAAGGTACTTCACTGTCGGGCTTGCTATAGAATCTCTCTTGTTTTTTGATAGATTTTTTCAGTTTTGTTGAGTACTTTTTTTCAAACCTGTGCTTCGATATTCAGCTATTAACAATGTTATAGATGTATTTATTAAACGTTGGTCAAAAACACTCTACCAAACTTTTTCTCCTTTTTTGGAATATTAAATATTGTTTCATAAACTAACAGCCATTTGCTTATAAGGTGCCCATCTTCAGTAATCCTTAGGACTGTCCTTGGTGCTTTGTTTCTTCAATTGCTGATTATTGGCCCGATTAGAATGTATATTCCATTAATCACGTCCAATCACGTCCGTTTTGGGTTTTGAATTACAATCTATAATTCACTTTTTTGCATGATGAACCCATGACTATAAAATCTACCCCAAAGATTTGGAAACAAAGATTTTGTATCCTAATTAATGTAACTAGATGTCAGTGCGAATAGCCTTCTTCTTACTTTTTTGTGTGAGTCTATATTCGTCTCATACCACTTCCATCTATGAATTGGGCCATAACTGGCCGGTTCGTAAATAATAATAGATATTATTATTTATTATTTTTTGCAACATTTGACCCTTTGTGATGTTTGATATATTGTGTCGATATTATTCCACGACACTGGAGTGTTGTAGTAGAGAATGCCTTCAATGTGTCTTAAATTCTAGCTGGTCTTAGTGGGAATTGTAAATAAAACAACGGAGAATTTTGGTTAAATAGGTAAAAATAGTGTTTATTGCAAAATATTTCGTTGGGCTTCTTCAAGAGATAAACGCACAATAATTGTTAAAATGAACACTTTACACATAAATACATATACAAGAAAATTTGTTCAAAAAGTAAAAGAGTGGCAGATGAAAAGTATGGCATGAAGTTAAATATTTTTTTAGTAAAATAATTCGACAATAAATGACTTTTGGTGGCTTGTTTGGGTTTGTTTCGTTACTTCCTGGAGGGCACACGATAATACAAAGTTGTTGGGTGTTAATTATAGTTTGGCTGTGTATTGTTGTTAAATGCAAGGAATGTTTGTTGAGTTTTGAGACCACGTTAGAGAGGAACGAGTAGCAGGATAAAGAAGGATAAAGCGAGCATGAACTCAGGATGTGCGCTCATTACAACTAAATGTGCAGATTTACGCATATCTTAGAGTTACGATTCTGCTTCTCACTTATCTCCAGAACTTGGAACATCTCTTGCAGTGCTTCGTTGGTGCTGGTCTTCCGGCGATTGCGACGTAGCGTAACACGGCCGGACTTGAATTCGCGCACTAGAGCGTCAAGACCTGCAAGAAAAGACGTTTTAATACGCTTCACTCCGGACTTGCTGCAAATAAGATAATTGGTGTTATTGGCATTATAGTTAAGCACATGCGATTAGTTGTTAGAAGAAATATTTGGATAAAATACACGCAACTATCAGAATACATACCTTTAAGGCGACGGGCACTGACAAAGAGACAAGCAAGTAAGCCTTTTACTTTAAAATCCATTCAACAGTGAAGGAGTGGGTGGGTGCGGGTGAGAAATAGCGGCAAATCGAAATAAATCACGAGCAGAGCAAAGGACATACACACACACACGTACACAATAAGTGTGGTATGAAGGCGTGAGTTAAGCTCTCCAGCATTCAACAACTGTCAGCGGCGACAAATGAAGGCGCCAAGTTGAAGACGTTGCGCATACGACTTGTTGGACTAAGTCAATGAAAATGTTTGTATGTACGAGTATGTGTGAGAAGGAAAAGTGGCGCAATAAAACACGGAAATATAAAACGCACAAATAATAATAATAAGCCATAGCACGACAGCGAGAAGAACGACAGCAGAAGCTGCAGAAGTAAAAATCATGCGCGACAACAGCAAAAACAAACAATAGTCCGCCCAAGGGTCTTGAGGTGGTCTTGAGGCGGTTGTGAGGCAGTCTTGAGGCGTTGCGGGTGTCACCACTTCTACTCGTAAAAATAATAAATTGCGTCGTCGTCGAATTTGATACTACTTACGAAGGCATGGGGGGCGGGGGCGGGAGCTGGCTATAGCTGGTGTAACATAAAGCTAAGTAAGCAAGCGCGAAAATGCGTAAAAAATGTATATGTAGGTACACCACACAAACACACACACACATAACAAATGTGAACGCTAGCAGAACGCTCTGTCTGCTGTTTAAAGCCCAAGGACCAAGGACTAAGAAGCAAACAGCAACAAGCGAGTCAGAGCAAGCGCCAACACTCACTCGCTTGTGCTCTTTTCAAAGCCTCGGCGCTATGGCATGTTGCCATGGCTGTTGCATGAAGCCAACTAAAGGCTGCTGCTGCCCCTCAGCTCAGCTCTACTCTACCCAGTCCTTTGCCTGCCACCCCCACCCCCATCCCTCGATGAAGCGCACGCACCGAGCTTAAATCAAATTCAAGTTTTCAACGTTACGCATACGCAGCGTGGGCAGCAACAGCAGGTATCAGATTGAACCGGAAATGCTTGGCACGCGTGTGTGTACGAGTATATGTAGTGTCAACATGCTGCCGAAAGGATATTGACATTTGTATGTGACTATTGCGATACGCTTGGAAAAGTGGAGCACATTAGCTGCCAAAGTACCAAACCAAGCTTATCAAATTTATGAAGCTACTGGTATACAAGTATATCAGAGGAATTTACGAGGCTTAAGTTGCTGGTAGCTTTTCTAGCAAATGCAGAAGTAGCTGATTTTTTTAGGTTTGTCCCTGTTCGCCTCCCCTCAGATATTAACCGCTCGAGAAGTGACCCTGCCATTGAACAAAATTTCAAATTGTTCAAATTTGTTATTATTTTCCACTTAAACTGTTAATATGGCTTTTAGTTTTTGAGATAACTGATATAGTTACTCATAATGAGGCTTTGAAAAGTTAGTTTTGCGTCCTAAATATTTGAAGCAAATATATCTTCTTTATCAAAATTCGATTCAATCTATGTGGCTAAGTATGGCAAAGTATACAAAATCATCCCATGTGGCATCGACTGTAAACACACTTTACTCTTATTATCCACAATCAGAAAATTGAAATAATTAAGTAACTATTTTAGCTAAAAGCAATATGCTATATAAATATGTCTACTCAGTATCAACTTTGTCGAAATATATATATAATTAAAGATGTTACGTTGCACAAAATTGGTTGTAGGAGGTATCTTCCATATCTACATGTGACTTCAGCTTTAAAGAGCATTTAAAGCTGTGATGGAAGAAAGTTCGTCGTTTGTAAATTTTTGTCAAACTCAATTTCTTTTCTAACACTGCACAAAATTGGGCTGGCGTTGCTGGCAAGAGTTGCAGACTGGACTAAACAATGGGCAGCTCTAAAAGTTAGCTCACTGGCTGGTTGGTTGCCTGGCCTGGCTGGTAGATTGATGGGTTCAAGCCTTTGCCATGACAATGATGGTGATGATGAGGATGCCAGCAACAATGCTGCTGCTGATGATGATGAAGTTGCCTGCCGTTATGCTTGTTGCTCATGTTCTTGTTGTTGTTGTAATGTAGGTGCACACACACTTATACACTCATATACAGTCTACACTCATACAAAAACATATGCTTCTGGCCAAGCCACCGACTACTATATTGTCAGAAGTACATTCGTTCGTTTCGCTTCATTTGTTTTTGCGCCTTCCAACACGACGCCGACGCCGATGCCGACGACGATAGCGATGGCGATGACGACGTCGGGACGGACCGACCTACGACTACGAGCGGCTGTTGTTGCTATTAAGCTGCTGCATGTCGCGTCGCCAGCTCAAACGCTTCATGTGCTTCAAGAGGTGCGCGCGCGTTTTTGCAGACATCGCTTGAATCCGCTTCAATTCGATTCGATTCACCTGGAGTCGAGCCAGTTAATAAATACGCGTGGCATTTTTTCGGCTTCGCATGGCCAAACGAAGTGAGTATCAAAAGTAGCTGTGTGTTGTGTGTGTGTGAGCGTGTTGTGTCTGATTGCGTTGATTGATTTGAATGTCTGCTCGTTACGCATACGCCGCGTTGTTCGGTCTCTGATGCTGATGGCGCGCGCCAAAAAGTAGATAACGGAAACGGATGTGCTTAGTGCGAGACTTTTTTGTGTAATTGAGTAGGTGTTGTGTTACTGTGAGCAAGCGACTCAGCAACTGCAGACACGAGTATGTCTGTTGTTGTGTTTGCTGCTGCTGCTGCAAAGAAATGTCTCAGTTCTTGGGGTAAGTCCAAGCTCTTACATGCCTGATTACCTGCAAGTCTCTTCATATATGTAGCTCTGTGTGTGTGTGAGTGTGTGTGTGTGTGCGCGAGTGTGTAGGTGTGGTGGCTTTTATGATTTCCGCTGCCTTTATAGTTCCTGTTTGCCATACCTTATGTTTGCGGCACATACACATAGTTCGTGGCACATAGTACGAGTATATAACTGGCATACGGGCATAGAGCAAAACTTATATATGTATGTATGTATATATAATTGTGTGTGTCGAAGTGCGTGCGTATGTGTACATATGTGTGTGTACTGTGCGTTCAACAAAGGCAACTACAATTT